AAAAGTGAATTTTGACTTCTTATCGAAGACAATTTTTCAGCTTTTTTTCTTTTTCCATACCTTTTTTTCTGGTCATTTTTAAGGTCCAGGAAAAAAATCTGTAATTTTCTGATTGTTTTTAAGTGCAAGGGGAGGCCAAAAAGTGAATTTTGACTTCTTATCGAAAGACAGATTTTTCAGCTTTTTTTCTTTTTCCATACCTTTTTTTCTGGTCATTTTTTTAAGGTCCAGGAAAAAAATCTGTAATTTTCTGATTGTTTTTAAGTGCAAGGGGGAGGCCAAAAAGTGAATTTTGACTTCTCATCGAAAGACAGATTTTTTTCAGCTTTTTCTTTTTCCATACCTTTTTTTCTGGTCATTTTTAAGGTCCAGGAAAAAAATCTGTAATTTTCTGATTGTTTTTAAGTGCAAGGGGAGGCCAAAAAGTGAATTTTTGACTCCTTATCGAAGACAATTTTTCAGCTTTTTTTCTTTTTTTCCATACCTTTTTTTCTGGTCATTTTTAAGGTCCAGGAAAAAAATCTGTAATTTTCTGATTGTTTTAAGTGCAAGGGGAGGCCAAAAAGTGAATTTTGACTTCTTATCGAAGACAATTTTTCAGCTTTTTTTCTTTTTCCATACCTTTTTTTCTGGTCATTTTTAAGGTCCAGGAAAAAAATCTGTAATTTTTCTGATTGTTTTTAAGTGCAAGGGGAGGCCAAAAAGTGAATTTTGACTTCTCATCGAAAGACAGATTTTTCAGCTTTTTTTCTTTTTCCATACCTTTTTCTGGTCATTTTTAAGGTCCAGGAAAAAAATCTGTAATTTTCTGATTGTTTTAAGTGCAAGGGGGAGGCCAAAAAGTGAATTTTGAATTCTCATCGAAAAAGATTTTTAGCTTTTTCTTTTTCCATACCTTTTTCTGGTCATTTTTAAGGTCCAGGAAAAAAATCTGTAATTTTCTGATTGTTTTAAGTGCAAGGGGAGGCCAAAAAGTGAATTTTGACTTCTTATCGAAGACAATTTTTCAGCTTTTTTTCTTTTTTTCCATACCTTTTTTTCTGGTCATTTTTAAGGTCCAGGAAAAAAATCTGTAATTTTCTGATTGTTTTTAAGTGCAAGGGGAGGCCAAAAAGTGAATTTTTGACTTCTTATCGAAGACAATTTTTCAGCTTTTTTTCTTTTTTTCCATACCTTTTTCTGGTCATTTTTAAGGTCCAGGAAAAAAATCTGTAATTTTCTGATTGTTTTTAAGTGCAAGGGGAGGCCAAAAAGTGAATTTTGAATTCTCATCGAAAAAGATTTTTAGCTTTTTTTCTTTTTTTCCATACCTTTTTTTCTGGTCATTTTTAAGGTCCAGGAAAAAAATCTGTAATTTTCTGATTGTTTTTAAGTGCAAGGGGAGGCCAAAAAGTGAATTTTGAATTCTCATCGAAAAAAAGATTTTTTTAGCTTTTTTTCTTTTTTTCCATACCTTTTTTTCTGGTCATTTTTAAGGTCCAGGAAAAAAATCTGTAATTTTCTGATTGTTTTTAAGTGCAAGGGGAGGCCAAAAAAGTGAATTTTGACTTCTTATCGAAGACAGATTTTTTTCAGCTTTTTTTCTTTTTTTCCATACCTTTTTTTCTGGTCATTTTTAAGGTCCAGGAAAAAAATCTGTAATTTTCTGATTGTTTTAAGTGCAAGGGGAGGCCAAAAAGTGAATTTTGACTTCTTATCGAAGACAATTTTTCAGCTTTTTTTCTTTTTTTCCATACCTTTTTTTCTGGTCATTTTTAAGGTCCAGGAAAAAAATCTGTAATTTTCTGATTGTTTTTAAGTGCAAGGGGAGGCCAAAAAGTGAATTTTGACTTCTTATCGAAGACAATTTTTCAGCTTTTTCTTTTTTTCCATACCTTTTTTTCTGGTCATTTTTAAGGTCCAGGAAAAAAATCTGTAATTTTCTGATTGTTTTAAGTGCAAGGGGAGGCCAAAAAGTGAATTTTGAATTCTCATCGAAAAAAAGATTTTTAGCTTTTTTTCTTTTTCCATACCTTTTTCTGGTCATTTTTTTAAGGTCCAGGAAAAAAATCTGTAATTTTCTGATTGTTTTTAAGTGCAAGGGGAGGCCAAAAAGTGAATTTTGAATTCTCATCGAAAAAGATTTTTAGCTTTTTTTCTTTTTCCATACCTTTTTTTCTGGTCATTTTTTTAAGGTCCAGGAAAAAAATCTGTAATTTTCTGATTGTTTTAAGTGCAAGGGGAGGCCAAAAAGTGAATTTTGACTTCTTATCGAAGACAATTTTTCAGCTTTTTTTCTTTTTCCATACCTTTTTCTGGTCATTTTTAAGGTCCAGGAAAAAAATCTGTAATTTTCTGATTGTTTTAAGTGCAAGGGGAGGCCAAAAAGTGAATTTTGACTTCTTATCGAAGACAATTTTCAGCTTTTTCTTTTTCCATACCTTTTTCTGGTCATTTTTAAGGTCCAGGAAAAAAATCTGTAATTTTCTGATTGTTTTAAGTGCAAGGGGGAGGCCAAAAAGTGAATTTTGAATTCTCATCGAAAAAGATTTTTAGCTTTTTCTTTTTCCATACCTTTTTCTGGTCATTTTTAAGGTCCAGGAAAAAAATCTGTAATTTTCTGATTGTTTTTAAGTGCAAGGGGAGGCCAAAAAGTGAATTTTGAATTCTCATCGAAAAAAAGATTTTTAGCTTTTTTTCTTTTTTTCCATACCTTTTTTTCTGGTCATTTTTAAGGTCCAGGAAAAAAATCTGTAATTTTCTGATTGTTTTTAAGTGCAAGGGGAGGCCAAAAAGTGAATTTTGACTTCTTATCGAAGACAATTTTTCAGCTTTTTTTCTTTTTTTCCATACCTTTTTTTCTGGTCATTTTTAAGGTCCAGGAAAAAAATCTGTAATTTTCTGATTGTTTTTAAGTGCAAGGGGAGGCCAAAAAGTGAATTTTGACTCCTTATCGAAGACAATTTTTCAGCTTTTTTTCTTTTTCCATACCTTTTTTTCTGGTCATTTTTAAGGTCCAGGAAAAAAATCTGTAATTTTCTGATTGTTTTAAGTGCAAGGGGAGGCCAAAAAGTGAATTTTGACTTCTTATCGAAGACAATTTTTCAGCTTTTTTTCTTTTTTTCCATACCTTTTTCTGGTCATTTTTAAGGTCCAGGAAAAAAATCTGTAATTTTCTGATTGTTTTTAAGTGCAAGGGGAGGCCAAAAAGTGAATTTTGAATTCTCATCGAAAAAAAGATTTTTAGCTTTTTTTCTTTTTCCATACCTTTTTTTCTGGTCATTTTTAAGGTCCAGGAAAAAAATCTGTAATTTTCTGATTGTTTTAAGTGCAAGGGGGAGGCCAAAAAGTGAATTTTGACTTCTTATCGAAGACAATTTTTCAGCTTTTTTTCTTTTTTTCCATACCTTTTTCTGGTCATTTTTAAGGTCCAGGAAAAAAATCTGTAATTTTCTGATTGTTTTTAAGTGCAAGGGGGAGGCCAAAAAGTGAATTTTGACTTCTCATCGAAAGACAGATTTTTCAGCTTTTTTTCTTTTTTTCCATACCTTTTTTTCTGGTCATTTTTAAGGTCCAGGAAAAAAATCTGTAATTTTCTGATTGTTTTAAGTGCAAGGGGAGGCCAAAAAGTGAATTTTGAATTCTCATCGAAAAAAAGATTTTTTTCAGCTTTTTTTCTTTTTCCATACCTTTTTCTGGTCATTTTTAAGGTCCAGGAAAAAAATCTGTAATTTTCTGATTGTTTTAAGTGCAAGGGGGAGGCCAAAAAGTGAATTTTGACTTCTTATCGAAGACAATTTTCAGCTTTTTCTTTTTCCATACCTTTTTCTGGTCATTTTTAAGGTCCAGGAAAAAAATCTGTAATTTTCTGATTGTTTTAAGTGCAAGGGGGAGGCCAAAAAGTGAATTTTGACTTCTTATCGAAGACAATTTTCAGCTTTTTCTTTTTCCATACCTTTTTCTGGTCATTTTTAAGGTCCAGGAAAAAAATCTGTAATTTTCTGATTGATTTTCAAGTGCACGGGGCGAGGCATTTGAATTT